AGAGAGAGAGAGAGAGAGAGAGAGAGAGAGAGAGAGAGAGAGAGAGACTAACACAAAGCACAAGCTGAAGGGCACAGTCAAATCATTCAGCTGGCCATTTCAACGAGTGCTCAGCTGCACAGTGATGGTTATGGGAGAATTGTGGTCTTGTTGCTGGTTTCAGCTCGAATGCACTCATCTGTTTGCTTCAACAGCTTCCGGACCAGTTTTTCTAGGTCCTTCCTCGACTTCAGTTCTTCTTCCAGGCATTGCTTCATTCTCTTATTCTCCTAGAAGGGAAAGGAGTTGTTGATCCCTGAGCCAAGGCAGCCTTTCCCACGGCTCCTCCTCTTCCTCTGCCTCCTTCTCTGCTTCTTTCTCCTCCTCCTCTTCCTCCTCCTCTGCTTCCTCCTCCTCCTCTGCCTCCTCCTTCGCTTCCTTCTCCTCCTCTTCCTCCTCCTCTGCTTCCTCCTCCACCACCTCCTCCTCTGCCTCCTTCTCCTCTTCCTCCTCTTCCTCTTCCTCCTCCTCCTCTTTCTCCTCCTCCTCCTCATGGCATCCTTCACACTGACTACATATTCGGAGACCCAGCTGTGTCTTAATTTTTCTGCCTGTGAGTGAGCGCCCTCCTACACTACTCACTTAAATACAAGTGTTCCCTAAGACTGGATCTGCCCTGGTTCCACACTTTCTCACCTAGGGTCACTTCTCTATCAGTGCGAGTGTGTATTAAGGGGCTTCCCAAATATCTCTGGTGCCAGTTTCATCTTCTGAGTACCAAACTCACAGGACAATGCCAGCATGGCAGGTTGATCTGGAGATTATGAGCCCTTTAAACTTAATATGTTCTAAAGGGCACTTAGTATCAACCCCCCATCAACCCAAACCTTTCTAGTGCTTCTGAATCTCTGAAAGGACTCCCACCATAGAAAGTCAGACACCCAGGGGCGAAGTTTCTCTAATGTCTCTCCTCTCCTCATTCCAGCACTGTGCTGTCATGTGCGGTAAATTCCAGCTCTACCATGTCTCTTTCCATTTGCTTTACTTCTCCCGGCCTCACTGGCCCGCCTCAGTTCAGGACTTTGCCGCCGTGCCCTATCCTGAATTTGCTCAGAACTCCACAGGTGCTCCTCCAGGCTCTAGACTCTCCTCTTCCTTACCCTCCCCCTTGTCACAGGTACAGTCAGTCTCATCGCATAGGACCCCATCACCAGCAAATTCATGAACCACCTAAGACAGTTAGTTCTCTTTTCCCTCTTCCCACCTCTCCTTCATTGCTCCATTCCTTTCTTGACTTTTCCAGGACAAGATCTTGCTGTACAGCCCAGGTTAGCAAATCTGCCACCTTCCTGCCTCAACCTTCCTACTTACTGGCTAGGATTACAGGCAGGTGCCCCCACACCTGGGCTTGGTTACATGTTTTTAAGATGTGCGGGGATGAGAAAGTAGTATCTACATAGGGGAAGTCTGCTGCACATATCAAAGTCACGTGATTAAAGAAATAAGGCCCAACTGATATAAGTTGGGCTTATATCATATAAGTTCTTCCCTAGTACCTTGCTCCTGGACTCTACCTGACACCAGCTCCCTGCGGGTGGCCAAGAAGCCAGAATGATTCTGCTACCTGAGAAGAAAACTTTAATAATGCATTACCTGCTTCAGTTCTTTGACCTCATCCTTCAGGGCATACACAGTATCAACAAGGCTCCTAAAACACACAGAGAAAATTCAGAAATGAACGGCTGGTACCGAAGTGCTGATAAACGAGCAAGCCATAACTCTGCATATGTACAGCTATGGGTATCGGTGGGGTTTCTAGCTGATGGGGACGATCCCTGCTCTGGCTCATCTACATTCTTTCTCTTCATCGGATAAAAGTTCTCATCACACATGCCCATTTCAACACCACGCTACAGCGCTGTTTCTACACTACCCATTTCCTTTCCCATTCAGCTCCAGCTTGAGGGGCCAGAAAACAGCAGACAACAGCCAGAAAATGTATCTTCTTTTCAATTTGAGGGTATAACTCACAAATAAAAACTGTATACATTTAGAGTATACACCATGATCCTTTGGTGAGTTTGTTTATGAAATATCGCCTCAAGTGGAGGTACAAACACAGCCCTCACCAGATGTGGTTGTGTCTACTGTTTGTGGCTGTGTCTTTTGAGAGCACTGCACATCTGTTCTTAGTAAATGTTAAGAAGAAAATGCATTATTATCAGCTTTAGTCATTATGCTGCATATTCATTCGATAGACTAAAACCTACTTATTGTCTTACATAATTGAACTTTGTAGGTTTCTTTTACCCACATCACCTTATTTTTTTTCTCCCCCCACCGAACCTCTGGAAACCACTGCTCCACTCTTTGATCCCGTGAGCTCAACTTTTTAAGATTCCCATCCTAAGGTTTGATGACTGTCGCTTTACAGTAGGAGCTAATAGTACTTACTATATAATGAGAGGGATCACATGACCCTGGGCGCGCTGCAATAGCCATGTTATGGTATTATCCTTCCCGTTTAGCTAACCCCACATGACAGAGACTCAGGATATTAAAAATAATAAAATTTTAAAATGATAAAATTTCCTGGATAGCTGTGGGATTTTTTTTTTTTTTGCCTCCAACTATTTCTCGTTAAGGAATTTAAAGATCTCGGTTTTAGTTGGGGGTGTTTTACGTTTAATCTTTATTGTTGATGTATGTGTTCATGTGTATGTGAGTGCAGACCCTCAAGGAGGACAGAAGAAGGAACCAGGTTCCCGGGAGCTGGAGTTCCAAGTAGTTGTGAGCTGCTCAGCATGGGCCTTGGGAACTAACCTGGGTCCTCCTAAAGATCAACCAGTGCTCGTAATTGCTGAGCCATCTCTCCAGGCCCTAAGTTTTAGTTTTGATCCTGCCTCTTACTATTACTCTGCCCTTGTGTAATCAGTTTCCTTCTCATTTCGTCTTAGCCATTGCTTTCTTTACATGTGAAATGGAGATAGTACTACCTTCCTTGAAGCCTTCACCACGCTATTATGATTACTGGATCAATAATAATGTTCTTAATAACAACAATTAGTAATTAGTATACCTGCCATTGATTTTTGAGTGCCAACCATTATAATTACTTTATTTGATTACTCGACAGCTCAGAAAATATTTTACAGATGAGGAAAACAAATCTGGAGAGATGGAAGAACTGGCCCAGGATGACACTGGCGATCCATAGCAAACTGAGTGCAGAACTGGGACTTTGGCCTGGTCTCTTGAACCCAGGCGCTTTGCTGTACAGCAGGCGTGAAAGCACATCCACAATGGAAAGCACTGGGAGAGGTGCTGCCTATGCAAATTCAGCCCTGACCTCACAAATGACTCAAGCATATAGGAGTGAGTTCTTGGCCACTCCTTGCTTCTTAATGAGCTGGGAGGTATTTAAGCTGACCCCACCCCCATGTAAGTCATAGTCACAATTGTGAAAGGGAGGCCATAGGCACAGGTCCCCCAGAACCTTATTTTTTTCATCTTTGAAAGTGATGTTTTCCTCACCAGATTGTTTTAGGGCTTTACAAGAGATCACCTGTGAGAAAGGTGGCCCCTGACTGGAAAGCTGTGAGCAGCAGCAATGCTGTGGGGAGGAGGATGCCAGCTAAGGCCCTCCTGGGTACCTCCAGATACACCATGTGAAGATCTCCAGTATTGGGAAGCTGCTTACTCCACAGGGAAGCAGGAGGGTCCTAGATGTCCATTTCTGTTTCTCTTGCCCTTGCTCCTCCCCTCTTGGGGCTCCCAACTGTATGCTCAGCAGAGAAGGCCCTTTTAGTGGAGGGAGAGGAAGAGAAGGACGGGGATGGGAAGGAAAGGGGGAGTAGGAAGAAGAAGGAAGAGGAAAGAGAAGGAAGTGCCCTTCGAAGAAGGATCTCTGTGCTGGCGAGTTTTATGTCAACTTGGCATAGCTATAGCCATTTTGGAAGAGGAAGCTTCAATTAAGGAAACGCCCCCTACCAAATTGGCCTGTGGGCAAGTCTGTAGGGCATTTTTTTTAAACTAGTGAGTGATGTGGAAAGGCCTAGCCCATTGTGGGTGGTGCCATCCCTGGGCTGGTGGTCCTGAGTTCTATAAGGAAGCAGGCTGAGCAAGCTATGAGGAGCAAGTCAGTAAGCAGCCCCCTCCATGGGCTCTGCATCAGCTCCTCCCTCCAGGATCCTGCCCTGTTTGAGTTTCTGTCCTGATTTTCCTCAGTGCTGGAGTTTGACCCGAGGCTTGTAAGCGGAACTGAGCACTGTTCTTGCTGCCGCTGTTCATGGCTACGGGGTTTGATCATAGCAACAGGAGCCCCAACTAAGACAGCCTGCTACACCTACTCGCAGGGCCCCCAGATATGTCAACAAAGGGGTCACTTTCTCTACTCACTTTTCTTCGATGATGGTCTGCCCGTTACTTCTGGTTTCCTCAATAATGAGTTTCTCTTCCTCAGGCAGTAGCACTTGTGGGACAGAATCTTTCCGAGTGCCTGTAAGTGAAGATGCACAAGAGGGGGTGGGGAGTGGTTAGCCCAGACTGTGGTAGTCCTTTCCGCTGCTACTGCAGCGGCTTTCTTCAGACCCCTGCACTCAAAAGCCACTCCTCAATTTTCCTGACAGAGAGAACTCTAAATGGCCAAATGATGTCACGTGATCTCCAGGAAGTGGGACTGATGTGCTAAGACCTCCCCAGTGTAAAGAAGTGACCACTGGTCACCCCATCTCTGCGTTCCTCCAGGAGTCGCACACCACGTCCCATGATCAGGGAGGGAGTCTTTACTGAAGTAAAGACTGGGCCAAGAGTAGCGCTACTCTGGGCTACGACACACTGAAAGGGCTTCCGAAGCAGCATTCGCTCCTTCGGAAGCCCTCTAGGGAAATGCAGAGTGGCAGTAAGCTACTCTTGACCATGGGTAGAGCGGAGCTGGAAGATCATCATATCAGCAACAAAACTCAGGTTTCTTCAGTGCTCTCTGCCAACACTTTCTCTATAGCCTGGGGCAGCAGAAGATGGGACAGGTAGTTTCAACCGCTCCACTGCTCAACCTAGAGCCTGCCTCTCTGAGCTCAAGAACTTGATCTTTGGTCTGCCTGGGTCACTGGCCTGTTCTGTTATAGAACAACATCCTTCAGAGGTGCATGCATTCCCTGTTTCTATTTGATAACACCCGTCTTCCCAGAGGTGAGATGTTTCCATGTTCAGTGAATAGCTCTTCGCAAGTGTTTAATTAGTATGCAGGAGACAAATGGCTGAATGAATGAATGAATGAATACGGAAAGTCAAGATGAGTCGGTTCTAGGGAAACAGGACATTTGACTGGGGTGAAATGGAGGGCCACAGTGATGCTGACGTTGGCTACATCTGAACATCAAGCATGGCATTAGATACCTCCCACAAGTACAAGGGAGGTAGGGAGGAGGAACAAAACTGTGTATCTTTAGGTCAGATCACACGCCTGAGCTTTCACCTCTAAGTACTTGGATGGACTCTACATCTAGGAAAACAAGTGGCCCACAGGTGAGGTAGGGCTGGATTTTGTTTGGGAGATGCTCTTCGGTTGTCGCCTCATCCCCGCCTTCACCCTAGCTGCCACAACAAAAACTTCCCTCTTTCATCTCCCAGCTCATCAAAACTTGCTATTAGGACCGAGCATGCCAGAAGCCACAGCCAGATTACTGTCCCGTTCGTGGTAAAATGTATTGATTTCCACATCAAATGCTCTCCTCTTGTGACAGCCGGTGAGATGTGCTTCCTTCAAAGAGTGTGTCAAGGCAGTCTCCTAAGAAAGCCCTTCATAAAAAGTAGGCAGCTGGTCAGTAGCTGTGAAAAATACAGCACTCTGGGACATTTGGTCCTGATGCAAATATGAGAAACTTTCTAAAGGGTGTCCTATACGTACATCATTATAGAAAACAATATCTATAGTCTATGGGACTTGGACTGGAAGAGACACAGGACTCGCCAGAGGGTATCACCTAGCTCTCAGGGCATCACCTGAAAACTGTGTGGGGAAATGCACTCGCCTAACAGCTCCTCGAGACACTTCAGACATCTGGAAGAGCCTCAGGTGTACAACTACATTTCCAGATTTTCAGAGCAGCTTTGAAACCCACGTCTGGTGAAGCATCCTTCCCTTCAATACATAGCTGATGAAAGATAGTATTTTGACTTCCTTTCCCATTCTGCCTATAAGCTGAGATTAGCATCAGATCGCAGACACAGGAACTCTCTGGTGCCTTTAATTCCTAACTAGTGCTGGCGAAGGTATCTGGGGAGATCAAAAGAGAGTGACTTTTTTAAAAGTCCTTTTCATTTCTCTCACCTCCAGTTTTTTTTTTCCTCTTACATCTCTCTGTCTCTCTGGCTGAAAAGCACCAGTGCGTCAAGCAAGCCCCAGTAGCTAAAAGCAGCTTATCTGGAAGATTAGCCCTGCGCCTCTGCTCTGCCCTGAGTCACATGCTTTTTCCACACCCTGCAACCAAGCTGTGCCGAGGCTCTTTTATGCCCCCTAAGAGACAGTGAGCAGCAAAGAACAAACCCCGTTCATCAGTGAAAGCAGTGTGGGGGAATTCCACTGGAACCAGTACCTTGTTGAAAACTGGCGCTGGTGCAGTAGGCTTCAATCACCTTAAGAATCTGAGCGTCCTCTTCCAGAGCAGCCGTACCTGTCAAATTGAATCAGTAATGACTTCTCACAGATATGTGACCCCGGACACTCAAAATGATGCTGTGCCCATCACTGCCAAGGACTCGCAGTGGTTCTGAAAGGCAGGCAAGCATCTGTTCAAGCCTCCCGGGACAAAAGAGTGACACCACCCGTAACCCTGAGAGCTCGGGGGTCAGTACTCAGGGACAGGGGCTATTCCTGAAGTTCAGAACTCCAAATTACTGGGAGCTCTATCAGTCATCTCTTGAAGGCTAAAATTACAGCACTGGGGCTTGGGGTTGGCTTCAGCGCTCATCCAGTATACCAAAGCCATCCTGGCGACTACATTCCAAGGCTTGCCTTCTTTAAGAGCTTTTCCCTATTAACCCCGCTCATCTTCTCAAGCAGCCAGTATATCATTAATTCTCCCACCCCCCATCTCAGTCTTTAAATGCTCAGATGGCAATGCTCCTCTAATAAGTTTAGTTGTAGATAGGGCTGGGGTTGCAGGAATTGGAGTTCAGCAAAGATGTATTTTAATATAACATTATATTATTTATAATGCATTATATTATTATATTATGACAGGGTCTCATGTAACCCAGGCTGAGGATAAACGTGAACTTCTGATGCTCCTACCTTCACCTCCCAAGTTGGGTTTACAGGCATATACTGCCTGTGCCTGGTTTATGTGGCACTCTGGGCTTGCAAGGCAAGTACTCTGTGAACTGAACTATGCTCCTAGCCACAGCAAAGACTGATCCAGGCTAGACTTGCAGCTGGTACATGCAATGCTGCTGCCTCACTGACTCTTTGTTCACAATTTTAGAGCCAAATACGGGCAGATCACTTGACTGACTTTATCAACTCTCTAGATAAAGCACGCTTTCCAGATGTCAGCCGACTGACTCCTGGTTCAACTGAGAGCGTCCTTGAACACCAGACTGCCAAGGATTTCTGTTCTCCAGTCCATTTAGTATATTTGCTCAGAAAATATCTCAGGCAGCAGAAACTTAAAGGGCAAATATATGTCCATAGCGAATGGGCCCCATTGGGGGGCCTAAATCAGGTGGAGGGAAGTGTCCTGCAGCATGAAAGTGATAGAGTGATGTCTGTCAGAGTCATCTGGAAGGGCAGCAGGGGACAGCTTATTCAGAAGTCTTAGAAGTAACCAAATTTTCCACATATTTTTATAACAGCTGATGCCAAGAACAAACTGCTCTAATTATCTGCTTTTTAAAAAATTCTCATGTTTGTTTGCGCATAAATAACTTGGCAAACGTACGGAACACATACTTTTCCTAATCACGTAGTCTTCCTCAGAGGCTTTTCTCTCTGTCTTCCTTTTGTGAAGAAACTTCTTCATTGTCTTGGGGCTCTTACTCGACTCCTGTAAGGATAACGGTTTCTCTGTGAATTAACATTCTCTCCCAAATAGAAATGAAGATAGAGTCAATAAAACGAGTTCGAATGCATCTCTCATGGCGATAGCATCCATTAGGAAAGTGTCAGAAGTTTAGATCACACACACTAAAAATGGCTTCAAGAAACTTGAAAAGGTTCAACAAAGCACAGGCAATCACATTCCACTCTCAGTTGCCATAGGAATGAGAATAAGAATGAAGAAGGATGCAGATTGTGCAGGAGGGTCAGTGCCTTTAGGGTACCATCTGCAGCAAGAGTAATGGAATTTCAACCCCAGAAGAGCACCAGCATTCCTAACTTGGTTGTTGTTCCCCATGGATGCTTTGAAGATGTAACTACTGTCAGAACATGAGTCTCTGTTCTAAGAGTTTAAAATTATTTGAGTTAGTTTTTCTTAAAGCAGTCCAACAAAGAAAACTAGAATTCCTGTCAGTCGGATGGGAAAATTAAGGTGGAGAGTCTATGTTATTTATTCTCTCATAGAGGAGAATTTCATGAAGAGTTTTCTGACAAGTAACTCTGGGTTATATACAGCCAAAGCCACACTTTTAATTAGTACCCAGTGGAGATGAAAACCACTGAGTTCGGGTTTTGTCATATGCAGAACTAGTAATTAAAAAACAGATCAATGTTAATATGAAAGTAAACAGATTGGACTCTTACAGTCTCACACTTCGAATCCCAAGGTATTATCCTGACTTTACATGTTGCCCATCATCTATGTATGTATGACTATATCTATCTGATACAGGAGTAATAATTAGTACTTTAAAATATATGAAACAAATAATTTAATTGCCTTCACTTGGCCACAGTGGTCCACTTAGACTTGAAAAGAGACAAACATGAGAAACCACACGTGCTTTAAAAAAAAAAGGAGGAAAAGCTAGCATTAAAAACATAGAAGAACAAGCATTTTAAAGGCATGGTATATAAAGTAACATTTTGCACGTATCAAACACAAGCCTGCTTTTGAAGAAAGTACTTACATGTCAGAATTGCATCTTCACATTTTAGCCACCAATTATAGCAAGGAACAAAACAAGCATAAAGGAAAGCTTCATTCATCAAAGTTTACAGCACAACAACAGTACGATGTCACTGTTCTACCCTTACCTTTAAGATATAAGACATCCTCTAAAATGAATATGTAAAGAAAGAGAAGATGAGCGTGAGAGGTCGATGGTTATAATGACCAAATCCATTTATCAATAATTCTAAAACAACATTTGAAATGTTAGTGTTATCATAAATTACATGGAGAGAACATCACCACAATTCCCACATTAGTTTCAGATGCAATATCCTCATGCAAAAGTCCAAAGAATCCAGTTCTGTGCAGAATTACAAATGCCGGAAAATCACCGAAATGCACAGTACATAGCAAGAATATATTAATAACTCTCTTCCCCGAGCAGAAACACAGCGATCATGCCTTAGTTTTAATGGATTAGTTACATGAAGGATTCAGCCAACTTTACCCTTCAGAGCTCACCTTGGTATGAATTTAGTAACTGACAGTTGCAACATGTGCATTATTAAAAAGGGGAATAGGTTACTATGAAGCGGCACTCCTGGTTTAAGTGATCAAAGAGAGACGAATGGTTGCAGGTCAGTTTCAAAGCAAACCTGTGGAACCACTTCCTGCCCAAATTCTGAAGAGTTACTTTAAAAAAAAAAAAAGTGCTCGAGTCATGCCTCCTATCAGCCAGTTGAAAGGGTTAAAAAAAAACCCTCCAGTGTCTGTATATTGTTCTGTTTTCTCGCTCTGAGAGATGGAGGCAACAACTAATTGGAGCAGAAGCATGGTTGTTCAAATCAAAAGACACTCCAAACTGAGCACAGTCTCCAAGATCAAAACGCAAGGGACAGAGAATTGTAACTGTCAGCAACTACTCTTCATACAACAAGACCTTAGGAGCAGTTATTAATAAATGAGCATCTTCTCTGAAGTAAGAAATAATTAGAAATAAGTAAGGGGGAACCTCACTTGGTGGAAAAGGTAACACTTGTGTAGTTATGGGAGCTAGAGACTAACGCGCCTTGACTGCCCTTCTAGAGAAAAGGACCAGACAGACACCCTGGTCATGGTAGATATTGGCAGCACTCTAGGCAAGTATCAGATGCCCTGTGAGGGAGGCTGAAACTGAGAACCCTCTCTATAAAAAGACATTCCTCTAATTACATTCTTCTCTTCTTCTCACTACACCAGACACTGCTTTCTTAGTTGAGACACATGGCTTGGTCTCATGACATTTTACTGACTGGGTTTCATTGAACAACATGCTACGAAGTGCAGAACTGGGTGTTTGATTGGAAAAGCAGCTTTCAATGAAGTGTTTCTGGTTTGAGATATGTGTACATAGATAACTAATCTAAACAATTACTGTCACTATGTAGAGAGACAACAGAGGAACTTAAGAAATAGACTAGGGAAACAGGCAGTGCATTTGAACTGCTCAGTTCCATCAGTGTCTGTAGATGGAGAACAGGGAAATGGAAAATTAAGAAACAATCACTGAATCTAGCAATTCAAGACATATATATATATATATATATACATACATATGTATGTATGTATATATCAATATATTCTATCATAAATTCTAGCATATTCTCTCTGAACTATTTGCAATAAGCTCTAAAATTAGCTTGTCAGAAGCATTTTATATCACATGTAGCAAAATTACCTCTTTATAACCTAGTGCTGCTGATGGTCTAAGTGGAGGTGCAGGTCGTAGGCAACTTAAACTCCACGGTTTTATAATTTGAGGAGGCTCCAAGGGTCCTCGGGGCTGTCCAGTAGAACTAAAAGACTGGGAAAATGTCTCATGAGATGCTGGCAATCTGCCATCTGAACCCGACCTGGTACCACACAGTGAGAGAATGGCAATAGCTCCATTGGATCAGCAAAGCCAGACACAAAAGGGGGAAGATGGAATAGTAAAATTGTTCAGTCGGAAAACTTAACGGTTTCTAAACAACATTATGGGTTCTCTAAGTAACAGCGCAAAATAGACTTGGTGTCCCCATGATCCTGTCCTCTCTTTTCTGCAATTCCATTTAAGGCGGAAATGTTTCCTCCATAAGGGAGGAAAGTGGAACAACAGAAACCATTCGAGTTTCAGTGATGTGTTTGGCACTCAATTAGATTCTTAAGTGGGCTCTTTCGTCAGAGTAAACAACAACAGGCTCAGAGAAGCGAAGCGACTGGCTAGAAGTTGGCAAAGACAAGATTTGAACCCAGATTTGATGCCAAAGCCTATGTTCCACCACCACAACACACAGCACTCAGAATAGGAATATTGGCATTACAAGGTGGAGCGTTAACAGACAACAGAGGAAAGCTTCCATTTCACCCAGCAAGTACAGTAAAATCTCATTAACTCCAACTCCACAGATTCTAGATTTCCGAGAACTCAGATGTCAATGCTGTTTACCTTCCATGCAGGTTACTGAGCAGATGTGAACGTGTGCGCGAGATTACATGAAGATTTTAGGCATTCGGAGAGGTGAACTACTTGCTTTTACGTGGCACGTGATTAAGGCGAGAATAACAGTTATGAAACAAATAGATCCTGTTTATCATTAAAACCTCCTAGAAAGTTCTCTGGTGGGAGATGCTTGACTAGCAGTGAGCTGAGTACCTAAGACTTCTGCTGATCAAAATCACACATACTTAACTGAAATACTTTCTTAATTTCAATGGGCCTCACAATAATAAGAAATCAGAATTAGTGAGGTTTAACTGTACTTCAAAATCTACAGAGACCACCCAAAGTCAAAGGGCATGCTCGCTGCTGAGTTTTAGAAGTCTTTAGCAGGCAACGTCCGACAAAACTTGAATAACCCTAATACTTCAATAGTCCCACTACTTCACTAATCCCAGTACTTCTCGAGTCCCGGGGAACTACTTACAGAGTGAGCGCTACAGGAGGAGGATGAGGTCTTAGACAAGGAGCTGCAAGAGGCTGGTCCTCTGGTCAGTCTGTTCAGCTGCTCCAGCCATTCCTGGAAATCCTGGCTATTGTTGCAATAGACCACAGTTCTCTCTATCATGTTACCTGTATCACCCAATTGTGAACATTTAGAAACAAAACACAAGGATGTGTCTTACTCACAAGCATACTTCAGTTGGGCATCTACTTTCAGGAATCTTCCTTTCTATGAAATAACCCTTTCAAACGTCAGTATTTGGAGAAGAGGGATTGTGATAATGTGGCAAATGATTATTCATTTTTATTTCTAAAAAACCGTCCTTGATTTCTACCACTTTACAGAATCTTAGACATAACATAACCTCACAACAAACACACTTGCAATCTGAAACCAGAAGTGCACTGACGGACCATCTAGTCCATAGCCTGTTCTAAGAATATTGTACTGGTTTGTCCAGTGTCCAAGATAGAACAGCATGTAGTTGAAAACAGTTAAAAAATAATACCAAATTATAGGCTCCTGAGTGATGAATACAGGGTTTGATAAGGTCTAGGGACATTAACACTGTCTTCACCACTGTGACATCCACGTACAAGTACAGCCATTACAAGGAAATCACAGAGGCCTGGCAAAGGGGACAATAGCCTAAAATGTCAGAGAGAATTTGAATATTGGGCTTAATTTGTAGAGAAAGTTTCGTGGCTATTTAGAACACAACCACACCTTGCCAGGTTACCGGCTGATAAGTTTGGTGAGAAAAGTCCACCCCTTTGGCTTCTTGGCCACCATGGACCACATGACAGAGAAGGAGAAGGTCGGTCCATTTTACTATTCTCCAGCTCTCACAAGTAGCTTTGATACAAGAAAAGATGGAAAGTAATGGCAAAGCCGAGGCTATCAAATGCCAAGAAGCTTCATTGTTTTGTTAGTCTACTCTAGTTGTCCTGGGGAGTGGAAAGGGCTTTGTCATATTTCTGTAAAACCTGATTAGGGAGAAAATAACAGCATTTATTTGTTTAAACTCCACTTTCTTCCAAAAAAGGATTTGAAGTCGCTACATGAAAAGGAGAAAATGACATACCTGTGATTTCAAATGTGCAGTCATTCCCTTCAATTTCATCTAATCTATTCACCACCATCCCTGCTACTGGTATTTTTCCCTAGCAGAAGAAAGAACATTCTTGTTAATTCTATGACTGTACATATTTCTCTCATACTTTTGATCTTCCCAGGAATCACGTGGCTAGACATATTTCACTAGTCTGGCAAAAGATAATGCTGTCCTAGTGTAGATTTCAATTAGAAAAGAAAGCAAGGGACAAGGGTGTGTTTGGCCAATACACCCTAAATCCTAAGCCCACGATTTCAAACAGTTTGATTTCGACCGTATTTTCATATGAATTGAAAAGCAAAGGCCCACATTTCATGAAAGGGAGTAATGGCCAGGACCACATATAACAGAGAATCACAGCATAATGGTCTACATTTTGGGAACAGCCTGAGGGAGGTTTCAGCCCCTAAGGCATTTAAGGACCGGCTTCTTACAAACCCAAATAATATAATATGGCTACAATATGACAATCACAGGATCAAGTCCCAGGTTTGTGGCATTCAGCAGTAATGATATGGGTCTGTAAATGGTTGTTCCTAATTTATCCAATCATAGATTTAGATTTCTATTTACACAGCTGGAAACTTAGCTCCTAGGCAGAGCAGCAGATTGCCGGGACAGGATTACGTGACTACAAAGGTCTTTGATCTCAAGAATATCTGTTGTCACAAGCAGGTTCCTTATGGAAGGTTTCGAACATTTTCCCTTTGCTGGCTTCAGCTCCAAATGCCATGGTGCCTATATCACACCTGAGGGGAAGCCTGTTTGCATCTGGCCTCTGCTTATTTCTTTTATTCGGAGCTACTCACCTGATAGATAAAGCCACTCATCCGAGGACTTGCAGACAACATTATCAAGACATTTGAAAACAGCATAAAATATCGCTCCTCTTTTTCCTGAAGTAGAATAAAAATCATGAACGGGAAATCATTGAACTGCTTTTGATAAGACCTCCTGATAGCACTGCTTAAAAACACAGGCCTTACCAGAGATCCACGGATAAGCGCTACGCTGAGCTCCAAGAGTCTAGAGGAAGAAAGGGAGGGGGGAGTGGACCAGCCAGGAGAGTCAAGCTGGGGGAACCCACAGAGACATCTGACCTGAGCTCCTGGCAGCTCATGGACTCTGGACAACAGTTAGGGAGCTTGCATGGGACCAGTCTAGGCCCTCTGCATGTGTGTGACAGTCGTGAAGCGTGTTCTCTTAGGAAGGCTTCTCACAGTGAGAGCAGGACCTGTTCCTGGCACTTAGTTGGCTGTTGGCAGCCTGTTCCCCATGCTGGATTACCTGACCCCGCCTCCATGTCAGGGAAGTAGCTCAGTCAGTCCTGCATCAACTAGATGTGCCATGCCTTGCACAAGCCCATGGGAGGCCTGGCCTCTCTGAATGGAGATGGAGAAAGAGTGGATGGGAGGGGTGTATGGGAAGAGGGAAGGGAACAGGAGAAGAGGAGGGAGGGGAAACTGGTTGGTATGTAAAATAAATGAAAAAAAAGTTATTGAAATAAAAAATACAGGCTTTACATAATCATCAACATGAGCAATAGCAGTGAATTATAAAATGATAAAAAGATAAAACTCTAAAGTCCCAAACAAGTATGTACATTATTCCCCGAGTGTATGAGGGTCAGAACCCACACAGATTCTGGAACAGTGTGACTGTAGTTCCGGACACAAAGTAACTCTGTCTCAAAGTTCCCGTAACTAAAAAATAACTTCACTTTGAATAGTAGCTAAGTGAAGCTGCTTTCAGCAGATAAGAAATTTATGGTCTGTTACAGCTGACCCAAGATTGTGGGAGCTCATGGACTCCAGACCAACAACAATGTAGCCCGCATGGGACCGACCTAGGCGCTCTGCATGTGTGTGACAGTTATGTGGCTTGGTCTGTTTGTGGGGCTCCTAGCAGTGGGATCAGAACCTGTCCCTGGCACTTGAGCTGGCCTTTGGAAACCTATTCGCCATGCTGAGTTGCCTCGCCAAACCTTGATGCAGTGGGGAGGGGCTTGGTCCTGCCTCAACTTGATATGCCAGGCGGCTTTGTTGACTCCCATGGGAGGCCTGCCCCTTTCTGAACAGAGAAGTGGAGGGGAATAAAGGAGGGTGGGAAGAGGAAATTGAAGGGGAGGAGGGAGGGGAAACAGATTAGGTTGTAAAATAAACAATTTTTTAATAAATAAAAACAGATTTATAGTCTGCTAATATTCCCAGTCATTAAATTACTTCTAATCATTAATACTAGGATAATTGTGGGCTCAGTGGCTAAAGTACCTGGCACACAAGCATGAGGGCCTAGGTTAGGATTCCTAGCAAACAGGTATTTGGCCAGAATAGCAGCAAGCATCTAAAATACCGAGTGCTGTAAGATCACAGCCAAGGGGATCTAAGGGCCTATTGGCTATCCAGTCTAGACAAAAATCGGTAAGCTCCAATTTAGTAAGAAAATTGGAATGTAATAGAAGAAGGCATTTATTATCAACCTCTGGCCTCCTCCCAAAATCATATACAGGGACAAGTTCACACACACATACACACAGACAGAGATAGTTACTGTATGACGTCTAAGACAAAGATGTAAATACATTTTTAAAACCTGGTGTGGATTATTTGGTCTTTGTGTATAATGTTGGAAATACAACACAGGGCCTTGTTCATACCAAATCCACTGTCCTCTTCACCCTCAGCCCAATTTCATGGTTTTTTTTTCTTTTTTGAATTGGCACATAACATATTTGCTCACACTTACAAGAAACAATGTGGCATTGCAATTCACGTATACATTATGCAATGACCAAATACAAGTTATTAGTGTGTCTTCTATCTTAAAATTTTGTCAATTCTTCCTGATAAGCATACTCGAAGTCCTTTCTAGGACCAGTGGGCTGGTGCTTTCACGATTCATCTGAAAGCAAATCTGGTGGATGGTTTGAAGACCTGAGATTAATTCCCAGGACCCATGTGGCAGAAGGAGAGAATCAACCCCTACCAGTGTCTTCTGCCTGATACACACATGTGCATACATGAGAAACAAACCAATGTATAAACTGCTTATTAGTGAAAAGAAACTCTCTCTTCTAGCTCTTTTAAGATTATTATAATGCATTATTGTCAACTACAGGTTTTGATTGCACTAAAGTAAACTTATCACATAGGGCTGCTTTGATCCCCTTAACAGAGTCAAAATTAATAGGTACAAAAAGTTCATCTTGAGGCAGAGACAAGTGGATCTCTGTGAGTTCGAGGTCAGCCTGGTCTGCAGAGCTAGTTCTAGGGTAGCCAAAGCTACACAAAGAAAATCCTGTCTTGAAAAACAACAACAACAACAACAAAAAAAAACCCATTTGACGCACTTATTCTCACGGCTATCTCCTCAATCTTCTTCCCACTTGATAGAGTAAACCTTCAGAACTGTTAGAACAACTCTCCCATCTTTCTCTTGCCTCATTTCCCTTCCACAGACATTGCGCTTCTTCAGCACCCTTTCCTGTTTCACTAGGTCCCTCTCTTTTGCCTTTAACGTATGTCCGTCACCGGCTTACGGCCCCTGCTCACCCCATGTGGCTCTTCATTCATAATATCTCATTTCTTGACGTTTTATTGCCGAATTACTCGCTGCCTTCATTTTCTCTCCATTGATTCCTCGCTAACTGCACTCCCCCTCCCGCTTTCTGAAACTCATCAATAACTGCCTTCTAGCAAAATCCGATGGCTTCTTTCTCTCCTCACACTCCTTGACATCTGAACCTTCCAGAACACTAAGCTTGCTGGCCACTTTCAAGTACTCCTCCAGGGATTTCAGTGGCACGACAATCCACAGTTCTTTTCTAGTCTCCTATTTGTGTCCCCCACGGAGTCCCACAAGGCTCCCTTCTCCTTTCACCCAAGGATTTTATCCCAAAGATATGAATGACTAATAGTTACTCTCACTGCATTAACCTTCCCTAGGGTCTCTGCATTTTTAATGAGATTGCTTATCAACCCGCAGTAATGAATCTTTGCCACAAGCACACCAGAGAGTATAGGAAGGTGTTTGTGGAGAGGGGAGACAATGCTAACATCTGATAAATCATACCAGGTGACATGATATGTCTCTCCTACCCTGATCTCTTCCTAAAAGAAATCATCCATCTTCAACCTCTGTGCTTCTCTTTGGATATGTACTTTCCAGAAAGGTACATTTGTCAGAGAGTCTAAATCTCTGTCCTGAATGCAGACCTCTCACCTACATTCCCATAGTGCATTAAAAGCTGCTCACAGGACATCTCCATGCAGACAGATACCAAGGGTCTTGTGAAAGTTAGCAGGTCTAAATAGTAGCTGCCATCTTCTGCATCCCGTAAGCCACCCTTTTGGGTTGATATTGCCACCAAAATGTGTCTTGAAGTTACCCTAGATTTTCTATTCCCTCTGCCTCTACCCCAGTTGCCCTTGACGGAAGAACAAATAAAGGACAGGAAAGTATGAGAGAAGCGATGCCAAGGGCTTACCTCACAGGTTCCGTACTGCACCATCACCTGCGACATGAAGATCACATTCCCCAGGCTCTTAATATCATCTCCTTCCCATGCCTGAATAGGTTCCGAAAGGATCTGCAATTCCAGTTGTTTTCTCTTTCTCAGATCTTGGCACTGCCCCTGCAGATGCAAAAGCGATTCGGGTGAGACAGATGAACGTTCTCAGGCCCAAAGCAAGTTCAAAATAAGGTACGTTTTTTGCCTCCTTGCTTCTCACTGAAGCCCTTTATCGCTTGCCCTGAATTCTATGACCATCTGTGCTCCTGCCAGAGAAACAAATACACTACCTAGCTTTGAGCCCCTCAATGCTATGGGAAGAGGGGAGGGCTTCCATTTTGCCAAGGAATCAAGATCGAGTGGTAAGAAGAGGCTTATTGCTCTCTTCCCGAGAAGAGTCTGGAGAGTTAAGGAGCAGAGTCCCATCAAGTAGAGTCAGGACAACAACCAGCCCTTTGCTACCATGGGCAAATTGGGCTGTAATTACTCCATAATTTCATTTATATGGTCTATGCTCACTCTCTAGCAAGGTATCAACTTGATGATAAGAAAAATATAGAGAATTACTCTCTGAGTTTTAAAAATAGAGAATGGCAAGAAGAATTCTTTTTATGTCACAGCATTCTGAGTTTATCATGAAACACATGCACTGTCCTGACTTTGTTTAGGGAGCAACAGTGCCTTGCAAAATACTAAGCTGATTTTTAGTCCTAAAGGGATTGGGGGGAAAACAGATCCAAGGGGATTTCGCGATGACTAAATTGGAAATTCAAATCAAGAAACAGTCTGCCAATACTATGTGGGACATGAAATATATAGAGAGATATAAAACCTGTTCCAGAAGAGTAAAGCTATCTCAGAGTAATTTAGCAGTACTCATTCCAAAATGAATAATTGAAGTGTAAGCAACTGGTTCATTATGCTATTTTGTCCACATGAATGTATAATACTTTTTGGGAAAAAATCTGTTGCATCATTTAACTAAAACTTGTAGAAATAAATACATTATACAGATTTTTAAGCATATGTATTTGCAGTAAATATATGACCACTATCAAAGCGAGTTTTAAAACACGAGAAGCACATTTGCCTTTTGTTGTTAGAGGAGTGTATTTTAGTTCCCTTGGTTCAGACAGGGTCTCGTGCAACCCAGGCTGGCCTCAAACTCACTATGTCACTGAGGCTCTGACTTTGAACTGGACCCTCTGGCCTTCTGTGTTCATGCACAGAAGAATGCATAAAAGAGATCCAGGTTGCAATAGTGCCACGCTACCCATGGGCTTGAGTGAGCTGTTCTACTGCGCTGAGCCATGTAAACCTGTAGGTATTTTTTACTACTTTTGCCTGACAACAGGTGCAAATTTATCACAAGACCTTGCCTGATCTTCAGCTCTCCCTTTAAGCAGTGCCACATCAGTTATTTATCTTTCAGAAGCAAGAAAAGTGAAGTGCCGAGGAGGGCTCTGCAGTCACCTTCTAGCAAGGATCAAAAGCTAAACATTGGTCCAAATCCCACAAAAGGCTTTAGAAATGTCAAATATATCTAAATTTAACACATTGCTCAAAATAAAGGGTTTTTTTTTTTCCTTCTGAAATGGCATCAAAGGTTTTACATCAGTGGGTTCAAGGAGACAGGCTAACCTTGACTCTCAAGATGCAAGATGATAGCTACCTCGGGTAGCAATCTATATTAAGCAATTTCATTTTAGTACATTGTGTGTTTTCTTTTAGGAAAGATTCCTTTTTCATATGCAAAGAACGAATTCACATATTTTGACATAAACAGTGAAATCCAGTATTGCTGCCAATCGGAGAATGACAAGTTATACGTACCTAGGGTGAGCAATGGGGGTAAAGACAAAAAAAAAAAGGAAACCCCCCACCTACACATCAATGCTTAATGTGGCCAAGACTTTCAAATGTGATTGCTTTATACCCTCAGTCTCGTAGCCTTTCATAGGTAAGCATGATTTGCAGAGACCAAAACCAAATATAACAATCACAGAACTACTGTCCTGAGAGTTTATTGGTTCCATCCTGAGGACCTCTGCTGAAAGAAAGAACTGTTACACCCAAACCATTCTTTCAGCAACAAAGTATACAAAATGGAGAACGACAGTTGGGAGTGTCACATACCATGAGAGCTTTGAATGCTATGATTGCTTTCAGAATGTCTTGATGGTCCGGGTGAGTGTCCTAGCAAAGGAATACATTTAAAAACAGTATCAGTATATGCACATATGTATGTAACAGCGTTGATGAAAACAGAGGCCATGAGTGAAGGAGAACTAGAAGGGGGATGTGGGAGGGATTGGAGGGAGGAGGGAAGGAGGAAATGATGAAATTATATACTCAGTATAATCTCAAAAATAAAAGAAATCATTAAAAATAAATAATAAAAACAGAATTAGAGGAGGCTGGATGCTGCCCTGGATGAGGTGGGACGAGCATGTGGTCACAAAAGGACAAAAGGGCAGAAGTGTGTATGTGCGCATGTGTGTGTGCGTGTGTGTGTGTGTGCGTGCGTGCGTGCGTGTGTGTGTGTGTGTGTGTGATGGAATGTCTTATATCACCACTGTGGTGGTGATTGATTACATAAATCCACACCTGTGTTAAAATTCATGGAACTATGAACCAAAAGAATTTTTATTTATTCTTATATTTTAAGATTATTTTATTTTTAATTATGTGTGTATATGAGGTAGAGTATGAGAGAGAGAGAGAGAGAGAGAGAGAGAGAGCACGAGAGAGAGAATACGCACATGAGTGTAGGTGGTAGAGGAGGCCAGAGGCTTTGGATTCCTCTGGAGCTGACTGGAGCGACTGGCAGTAGTGAGCTGGCTGACTTGGGTGCTGGGATCTGAGCTAGGATTTACTCTTAACTGCTGAGCTATCTCTCAAGCCCCCCAAAATTTCTTAATTGCCTAATTGCTGGAAGTACTGAGATCCTAAATTCTGGTATATTTTTTAATTCTTAACTTATCATATTATACAACTGATTATTTTGCATATAACCTTTGAGTTTACTATTATCTTTTCCTTTTAATTAACAAGAAAAAATATGCATATTTGTAGTAGATAATAATATGTTTTAATGTATGCATACATATATATATATATACATACACATTGTAGAGCAGCAGGGTTTAGCCAAGCACAATAGACTTTTAAGATAGTTTATAATGCATCATATATTTAGTAACAGCATAATAGGTATCATTATTGAAGTAAGATTTCTCATTTCCATGACCAAGAAATAATGGACTTCACAGTTTGTGTGCTTTTATTTGGTTAGTTTGGTGATTTTGTTTTGTTCTTTTTGGATGTTGCTGTATTTTGTTTTCTAGGTTTGGGGGGCTTGGGGAGTTGTTTTTTGAAAAAGAAGTTAAAGTTGGATGGGGAGGAAAGAGGAGAGAACTTGGGGGAAGAAAAGAATGCAATCAAAACATATTTATATTTAAAAACTGTTTTAAAAATAATATTTAATAATTAATATAGTTACTTGAAGGGACATCACTAATCCTGTAGTGCACCTAATGTTGAGGAATATGGATATGCCAGGCATTCTCACCAAGGGATGGATACACTTACCCCTGAATTCAGCAGGAGAAATGAGAAGGCCAACTCTGCTCATCCATTCTTGGGTAGAAAACAGGGTAGCAGAACTAGAGCCCTGAGTCCTGCCACAGGCAGGATTGTTCACGGAAAGTCAGTGTGCATTCTTCCGTGGTAAAACTTATCCTAACAAGTGATGAGAAACCTGGATGGCACTGGCCTAGTGGTACACTCCCAGGAAGGGAGCGTAGCATCTGACAGTGGCACTTGGAAGGAAGTCAAAGCAAGTGTGACCAAATGGAGACTGGGAGGGCTAGAAGCTGGTGAGGGAGGCGGTAGGAGGAGCGCATAGGCCTGGAAGTTCCTCCTCAGCTTAGCTGTGTTCCAACGGCAGCAGTGAGAAGCGACAGTTTCTGAATTTTTGTGATAAGGAGGGAGGGCAAACTTCAAAGGGCCTGGTGAACTGGCTTAGCGTACGGAAAGGCATCCCGAGGTCAACAAGAGCCCCAGTTGAAATATCATTCTGGCAGCCTTTACCCACCATCTCCCAACTCCCTCCAACTTTTGGGCACTTCAAATGCTCTAAGAACGAGCTGTTAGCTCAGAGAGGGCACTTTTCGGTCTTTACCAACGCTGACAAGCACCACAGCATGGAACCGTTTTCTTTAAAGATAACCAACCCCTTTAAAACCTCAAACCCTTTCTCCAGACACAGGAAGAGCAACTAGGGTAAACACAGTCTTTCCCACCCACGCCTCTACGCCCCATGCACGTAAAGAACAGCTCAAGGCAATGGGCCTGCTTTGAAAAATCACAAAGGGATCTGGGTGTTTAATTTTCAATGATCAGACCTCGTTGCAATTCCTAATATTTAGAAAAGATTGTAGTTGCACTACATCCATTACCAATAACATTTAAGTTCATGAACAAAATATGAGTGGACTTTGCTGTAGATATACTGATGCCTAGTAATGCAGTAGGATTGGACCCATTTATAACGAATGCCAGAGTCAGAAAAGCAAATGTCTACAGTGTTCCTATCTGCAACAAACATATTCTTTATATTTCATTTTTTTTGTTTGTCTTTATGTTTTCTGATGTTGGTGTGCTTTTTCCTATCATGGTAATGCTAGTTAAGACACCAGAATGATAGAGATTTGTAGGTCTGATTGCCTCTGGCCCATCACCTACAACAGCAATTCTCAACTGTGGGTTGAGACTCCCTTAGGGTCACATGGCAGAGAGCCTGCATATCACATACTCATATTACTATTCACAACAGTAGCAAAATTACAGTTGTGAAGTAGCAATGCATTAATTTTGTGGTTGAAGCTGACTACAGCAGGAGGAACTGTATTAAAGGGGTGCAGCGTTAGGAGAGCTGGGAATCACTGCTCTACAGACAAGATGACAAAAAGAAACTTAAGTCAAGCAATGAGCAGAGTCTTGAGGGAAGCAACAGGGCTGAGACCTGGAAGAGATGAGTGAAGAGGGGAGTAATGATAGCTGTGCAGTAGGAAAGAAGGGGGGGCATCTTTTGTTGCATAAAGAGGAAAGTGAGGAGATCTTTGGGGAAGACGGAAGATCAGATCAAGTAGCATTGGAAACCAAGATGTTTTCTGGATTCATAACAAAGCTGGTTTGGAGGCAGAGCATGTGCTTTGTGCAGCACACAGGACACCAGTGGGCAGAGGACCTTGCTGAAGCTTCTTTTCCCTTACCTCCATATGTCGCTCCAGCTCTTGCAAGAGAGTAACATACTTCTCCAGTCGCATGAACGGCTTGCTGAGGCTTGTTGTTAAAATGAGGACGCCTGGGCTGGTTGCCCCTTGATTTTCCATGAATCGTTCTAGATCATCACTAGAGTTTGTTTTTTCAAAAAGAAAAAGAAGGTGCATACTTTCAATACTGCTGGATATCTGATGTCAAGCATTGATACTGTGTTAGTATATTTTGCACAATGAAATCGATCATTATCCATCCCTCCAGTGCCATTAGCTCTGTGCCCAGCACAGAGGGGATGGTGGTAGGCCACACTTGGGGTCCCTGATTAAGCATCTACTGGAGAGCAGGCTCTGTCCTGGCATGCTGTCACAGCAATGAGCAAAATATAAATTCCCCACCTTTAAGGAGGCTATACCCAAGTGACAAGGTGAAGAGTCTATCAGATGACGTCAATCTGAGGTTGTTTTCTTGGTCACTTCAAACATTCTACTTGTTTGCTGGTCTGATGCCAGGATTAGCCATTCAGTAAACCCTCCCTTTCAGACAACTGAACCAAAAGCTATATTCAGACAGCAGGGTGTTGGTGTGAATAACCACATAGTCATTTTGCCTAGGACTTTAATACAGTTCTGCAGTCTACCTGAACACTCCCAGAAGACAGCATATTGGTGGGAATCAAAGTATGTTTCATGAGCCGAGCCCTAAAAACTTGCATATCTCTGATGCTGCTTTCTCTGTATTTCAGTACCTTTCTAGATTGTTTTATATCAACAAAGTCTGGGACTGCAAGGTCATTTGATAGACACTTAAAAATATAGTGAACTAGGTGTGGTGGTCCTTGTAGGCCTAGCACTCAGGACATAGGAGAATCTCCATGAATTGACGTCAACCTGAGCTACAAGGTCATCCTGAGCTATATAGTGACTTCTAGGACAGACTGGGATAAAGAATGAGATTCTACATAAAAGAATGAAATGAAAGGAAGAAAAGGGAAGAGGAATAGGGATGGAGGAAAAGAGAAAGAAAAAGAAGAAAGAAAGAGGGAGAGAGGGAGGGAGGGAGAGAAAGATGGAAGGAAGAGTGAGAGATGGGTGGGGGGAGAAAATGGAAAGAAAGAAAGAAAGAAAGGAAGGAAGGAAGGAAGGAAGGAAGGAAGGAAGGAAGGAAGGAAGGA